TTTATTTATTTTTTATTGAATTAAATTTGTTTTTTCTCAGAATACCAATTTTTAGCATGCTGCAATGAATGACTTGAAAATTACTCGTTAGTGCTTTTTTTTGTAGTTGTGATAATAAATGTGATAAACTTATTGAAGCAATGTATATTTTTTGATTTAATTCTTGAGCAGAGTTATTGGGTTCTAAGGTAAACTGTATTGGGGTAAATATTGACTAATTAGTTATTTTCTGCTATAGCATCTTCATGCTTTGAGCTAACTTTTTGCTTCTATAAGTATCTTCTTATATTATAAGTAAAAGTAGTAAGAAAATGAGAGTTCTGGCTTATTTTTTATTTTCAACCAAATTTTCAACCATAAATTAATATTAATATTGAGGTTAACATTGAACCATGTTGTGTATAATTTATTTAGATAAGAAATAATTTTTTGTTTTAAAAAATTGATTTTTTAAAATAAGTGTTAAATTTTATTTCTTGTTATGAAATATTATGAAAAATTCTTAAAATGACGTCACGTGACTTTTCTTAATAATAAATTTGATCTGGTGTTTTTAACTTTTCTTCTTCTAATCTTTCTTTCTCTAACTTTTCCCATTGTAATTTATTTTTATTTTTAAAATAACGAGCTAAACTTATTCTTCTTTTATAGCCCATAAATTTATTAACTTCATCTTTACTTGTACATTCCATTTTTTTAATTTATGTAAAGAATTTAAATTTTCAATTTTTTCTTCTTGCTTCTAATTTATATCCTTTTTCATGTAAATACTTTACAACTTCAAGATGACTATTTTCTCGTCTCATTAAATTGGAAAAATCAATTAAATCTTCAGGTCCTCTTAAATTTAAATCTTCAATAAAATATTTAAGAATATGTAAATGTTCATTAAATACAGCATTAATAAAAGCATCATCATTAACCTTATAATTTTGTGATATTAAATATTTAATAACATTTAAATGTCCATACATCGCAGCATAATCAATTAAATTTTCAGGTCCTCTTAAATTTAAATCTTCAATAAAATATTTAAGAATATGTAAATGTTCATTAAATACAGCATTATTAATAGTAAGTTTATTACCTTTATACCCTAATTCATGTAAATATTTAATAATTTCAAGGTGACCATTTTCTGCAGCATAAGCAATTGCATCTTTTGTACCTTTTTCTCCTGATTGAATTAATATTTTAATTAGATCAAATCTATCTATTTCAGCAGCAAAGTCAACTTTATTACTTTTTTTATACCCATAGTTTTTTAATATTTCAGTAATATAATATATCTGAGATGAAGGATTAATTATTTCGTTTTGAATTTTATTTTCCATTCTTTTTTATATATACAAGAAAATTATTTAACTTATTTTTCAATTTTTTTATTTTTTGTAAAAAAATAAAAAAAAATATTTAATTCTGTAGTCTAATTATCAAATACAACTTCATCATCTTCATTATCATATTCAGTAGTTTCTGTAATTTCAGTAGTTACTGTAGTAACTGTAGTAACTTCTTCTTCATCTTCATCATCTTCATCATCTTCATTATCTTCATCATCTTCTTCATCTTCATTATCTTCTTCATCTTCATTATCTTCATTATCTTCATCATCTTCTTCAGTCATTTCAATATCATTATCGTATTCAGTAGTTTCTGTAATTTCAGTTACTTCAGTAGTAGTAACTGTAGTAACTTCAGAATCATCAGTCATTTCAATATCATGAATATCAATTATATTTAATTTTTCTTCTATTAATCTTAATCTTTCATTTATTGATCTTAAAAATAAATTTTGCATTTCGTTTTCCATTCTTTTTTTATATAAAAGAAAAATTATTTAACTCATTTTAAATTTTTTGATTTAAAGTATTTTTTACAAATAATAAAAGAAAAATGTATGATGATGAAATTAATGAAATATCAGAATTTCAAAAAGAATTTAAACTTTTTGAAGAAATATTAAAATTTGAATTTGAAGAATCAGATTCTGAAGATGGCACTTATTATACATCTGATGAAGCTACTTATTATACATCAGATGATGAAGAAGTTAAAGAAAAACCTATAGTTCCAATTCCTTTAAAAACAGTTCAAATCATGGAACTGCATAAAGATAAGCTGAAATGGATTAATTATATTCCAACTTATAATGTTATTAATGATGATTTTCCTGCTATAGATAGTTTCTTAACAAAAAAACATAATAAAAACAGAAAATTTAGTTTTGAAAAACCATTTAATGTAGATATTAATTTTACTGAAGATGGAAAACCTTCAACAATACATTTTGTAGAGAAACTGCCCATTTTCTGTAAAAATATTTTAAAAGATAATTATTGTCCTTTTGGAAGAAAATGTAAATACAATCATGATATTCCTTATTGTAATACTGTAAAGGAAAGACTCATATGCACTAAATCTTCATGTCAATATAGACATTTATCTCTATGTTCTGAATACCCAAAATGTAAGAATAAAAAGTGTAGATTGTTTCATCCCAAAAAGTCAGAATTATTAAAATTAAGAAAAGCTAAAACTAAATTATGCAAATATATTCTTGATAAAAAAGAATGTAAAAATATAAATTGCAAATATGCTCATTCAAAAAAAGAAATTGAAGAAAATGTAGAAATTTGTCATTATAATCCATGTAAATTAGTAGATAGTAAATTAAAGAAAAATAAAAAAGGAGAAAAAACAATAATATATAAAAATAATGATAATAAAAAGTGTAATTTTTTACATCAAGGTGAAAGCATTTTAAATTATATTGCAAGAACTTTAAAAACAAAATAAATATGAGGATTACAGAGTGATTTAAAAAAAATCTTTACATTTATAAAATGTATAATAGTAGAATGTTTTTATATTATGAAAATAATGAACAATATAGAATAAATTTTTATATTAATTCAGATTTAGAACATAGAGCAATAAATGATAGACATATTAAAGTATTCGCACAAGAAGATTTTACAGTAAAATCAAATTCATATAATAACATTTCTTTAATGTGTGGTGTTGAAATAGATAAAGGACATATAGTGATTTCAATTGCAGAAAATTATAAACCAGAACTAAATTTACTAAATTCTATTGTAACAGAGTCTACTGACGATATTAAAATAACTGTATATAATAACGATAAAAAAGATATAAACATTAAAAAAGGAGATTTGTTATGTTGTATATCAACTTATAATGGTATTTTAAATGTAAATTATATATCACATAGAGATGCTTTAGAACATGCAAAAGAAGAACAAATGAGGCAACAAAATGACTCAGGAACTAAACAGAAAAGTGATAAAGAATCTGTAAAATCTTTATTATCAAGTATAGAAGAAGTAATTAAAGATAAATCTGATGAAGATATATTTAATTTTGGTAAAAAGTGATTTAGCGAAGCATTGATAACAAAAGTGATTTAAAACAAATTTTTCTTTATAGAAAAAAGAAATGCTATGTAATAATGGATATAATAATGAATATAATAATGAATGTAAGCAGCTTTATCCAGATCTTAACCAGTTTTCAGAAAATCCATCTGCACCACCACAATCTATAGATCGTAACTTTAGATTACAAAAGATTAGTGAAATTCAAGATAAAATAGAATGTGAAAGGAAAAGAAGAGAGATTTTAAGTAAAAAATATCACAGAGCTGTAAGAATCATTTCAGCAGTTGATAATACATTACTTGCAACTACTATGACATTAGGAGCTGTTGGTATTGGTTTTTTAACAACAATAGTTGGAACACCAGTAGCTATTGCATGTGAAGGTGCAGCATTAGGTATGGGTGTATTATCACTAATAGGATCACAAGCTATTAAAAAATTTACAATAAAAGCAGAAAAGCATGAAAAGATTAAAGTACTAGCTGATGCAAAACTAAATACAATAAGTAGTCTTATTTCTAAAGCTATATCAGATCAATATATTGATGATGTAGAATTTAATATGATACTTTCAGAACTTGAAAAGTTTCAGTCTATGACTGAACAAATTAGAACAAAATCTAAGAATGATATAGATGAACAGACTAAAGAGTCATTCATTAATCAAGGTAAAGAGAAAGCAATGAAAGAAACTATGGAATTGCTAAATATGAGATTTAACAAAAATCAGAATATAGAAGTGATGAATAATACTCTTAATAAATAAAAAAACATATATTATGTATTACTTGAACATATATTATGTATTAAAAAACATAATATATGTTGATTTAAAAAATTATTGCATATATAAAAATGTATGCAAAAGCTACAGATATTGATGCAAGATTAAAAATAGCAAAAGAACTTGCTAGTTTAAAGAAAAGTATATATCAAGATGATGTAAATGAAAAGTTGGGCTATGATGCTTTACAGACTAACTTGGAAAAGTTGTACAAACCAATAATTGATAGTCAATCTGGAATAAAAGAAGGAATATCTAAATTAGAAAATAAAGCTGATCAAATAGCAAATACTTTTTCAAATTATCCTGCTTTACTAGATTCTGAAACTAAAGCAATCATGCCACCTGAAGTTGTAGATAACATGAGATTAGGACCTATCGCAGCAGAATATCTAAAGTTATATACTGCTAAAAATAGTAAAAAAGTATCAGATGATATATTTGGTATACATTACAATGAAAGTGATAAAAAATTTTACATTGGTAAAAAACCAATAACTATTGAAGGTGATGATATAACCATTGAAGGTAAAAAATACATGGGTACACCAGGCCTTTGGGAGATTATAGTGAAATCTCATCCTGTTAGATATACTAACGATGATCGTAATAAGTATAAAGAAATTTTAAATCAAACAGATGCAATTCGCTCTGAGTTAAATTTAGCTAAACCAAGATCATCTAGAGGTTATAAGTACACTAATGTAATAAAACCTATTTGGGAAGAGATGATTGGAAAGTCTGGAAAAGGAGTTGTTATTCTTCCTAGTGATCCAAATGCACTATTTGATATGCTTAAATTACGCTTAGCTGGTTTACATGCAGGAAATACTGGAACAAGGAATGAGATTGTTGCTATTTGTGATGAGTTGTTACGACAGGGGCAAATAGATGATGA